TGAGAATTCTATAGAGTAGGTGTTATGGAAAGGAAATGAAGGTCTCCAGAAGAGAAATAATGTTGTAATAAAATGAAAAGTAGCCTGCAAGCCTTCGTAACAGTATTATTCATAATCAAAAAGTAAAAACAACCCAAATATCTATCAATTGATGATAAACAAAATGTGGTATCTCTCATACAATGGATACAATGGCATATTCAGCTGTAAAAAATAAATGTTGGAACACATTACAACATGGACAGACAAAACCTTAAAAACATTATGCAACATAAAAGAAGTCAGTCACAAAAGGCCAAATATTCTGATTCTGTTTATAAGAAATGTCCAGAATAGGGAAATCTATAGGGACAGAAAGATGGGCAGAAGATGTAGGGAGAGGGAAATTGGGAGTGACTGCTAACAGGTACAGGTATTCCTTTTGGGATAATGAAAATATTCTAGAATTAGATAGTGACTGTGATTGTTCAATACTGTAATATATTAAAAACTATTAAATTGTGCGTTTTAAAATGGTGAATTTTATGTTAAGCTTATCTCAATTTAAAAAAAATCACCAAAAACAAGGTAAACTGAAAGGGAAGTGAATCTTAAAGGAATCTGAAATATCAGAAGTGGACAGACTGAAGGACATGACGTCTAGATGAGCGTGAAGAACAGAACAATAGCAGTAAACGTTGGAACTGCAAGGACTGGAGACTCATGTTAGAAAGTAAGATATCAGCATTCCTTATCTCAGAGATTAGAACTTCGTGTGGTGACGCATAGAAAACATGGCTATGAAAATAGGTGTGAATATTAGAATAGAGGTCACTTTACAGTAGTTGGGAGAGAATATGAAATTGTCATGTAGCTGAGAGATATACACTGCAAGTACTCAGGAGGAAAGACTGACTTGGAGATAGATACTTTGCCAGCTATCAAAATCCTTATTAGATTACAGTTATGATTGAGATAGAACTGAATAATATAAACCTACAAAGAGGAAATATTTTTACCTGATTAAATGTGAAATTAGTCAAAATTATCAAGCTGGTAGCCCCAATTCATTCAACAGTTTTTTTAATTAAAGTGGAAACTATGTCATAGGAAACTATCATAGGAAACTATGATAATGGGAATACAAATAACTTATTTGCTGACTATCCTTGAGTAGGTAACATTGCTAAGTCTCATTTTCTTTTCATGTGCAAATTTGGTATACTATAAACTTTGCAACATTGTTGTGAAGGTTGGAGATACTATACTTAAAACATAGAACTTGGTACCCTAAGTGCACAAGAAGAGGGTTGTTTTCCCCTTTAAAGACAGCCTGTCTTCAAGGAGTTAATAAATAATAGTCTGCTGAACACCATTATCATTAACATTTATTTAGAACTTGTTATGTGCCAATAACTGTGTGAAGCACTTAACATGCATGAGCATATCTTATTCTCATAATACCCTGTAAGATAGATATTCTTATTTTCCCTATTTTGGAGATAAAGAAACTGAGGCATAGGAAGGTTGAAGAACTTCCCCAAGACCACAGAGCTTGGTAAGTGGTACAGTCAGATTCAAATGTAGGCAGCCTTGCTTCTGGCTTTGTGCTCTTAACTATTAGGCTACGCTTTAAAAAAAATTACAATATTATAATAATTTAAATGGAAGTATGTGTAAGAAGCAACACAATGCTAGAATAAGAACCTGTTTGGTAGTAATTGAGCAATGATTTAAAGGGTATCTGCTTAACAAACGGAGCAAGCATGCCAGTGAGAAGATACACCAGATACAGAAATTATATATAGATTGCCACCATTACGCTCTATGATGCCAACACCCAAATACTGCCAGAATGGACAAATAATTGGACCTAGTAGAGCAGTGCCACTCATGAAGCAATATTCATCAGGAAGAATATAACTATTGGTAGCATACACTATAAGCAAAATAAATATAAGCTAAGTCATCAAGCTAGTTTAACCTGTTGCTGGCATGATTTACAATGATATTACAGGTGAAACTAGCCCTGCAAAAAGTTATGAAATCAGTAAACTAGAGTCTTGGGCAACCTCTCCTTTCACTAGTCCTTCAGTGTATCAACTTCAATAACAACTATTTCTAGCTCCTCTTAGTCTCTCCTTTCTATGCTTACTCCTCATACTTCTAAAGTAAAAATGATAAATAATAGCTTAAGAATTTGGGAAAGGTATATTTAATAAGGGATTCAGATCTTAAACTAGAAAAATATAAAAATAACTATGGAACTTCTATTTGGGTAGATGATATTTTAATAGAAGTCAAAGTTTTCATGGAGCCCTTAGTAGCCCTTTGGGTAATTCAGACATTAGAAAGGGCTTAGAGTTCTTAGTGCTGAATGTCAATACTTCAGTAACTTGTTTTGGATTTGAATCTTTTGGTTTTAGAATTCTTAATTCTAAACTCAACTAAATGATATAAAAGAAAAAAAATAGCTGCTTATAAAAGCAAAATCGTGAATAAAAATGTTATCAGTGGATTGTTCAGATACTTTAAATTTTGAGGTTCCCTGTTCCAAAAAAATATTTCATGATTTAGATTCAATTCTACCCAAAGAGGACAGATGCCCTGTTACACTACTCTGAGATTCTGTAAAAAGCCTTGTCCTTCTATACACTCTCTCATATATCTACCCGAAAATCAAAGCAACATCTTCTGTTGCCTACCTTAAGGGTTTAAGAACTATGTTTCAAAGAGTGCTTAAAAATAAATATAATGTCTCAGGGTAACATAATAACAATAATAACGCCACACATTTAATTTTAAATAAAAAGTAAAACTTTTGAAAATAATATTCTTACTAAAAATTATAACATTAATTTTTAAAAACACTTGCCTGGAAGCTTGCTAGTGTTCCTCAGAAAATTCCAAGTGGCATGTGTTCCCCCAACATGGATCCAGAAGTACAGAGATGCACAAGAGCACTGAACTAAGAATAAAAACATATGGTTCTAACCCTGGTTCTGCCTTTTCTAACTATGATATGAAGCAAGTCCCCTTCACTTTCTGGGCTTTGGTATCCTCATCTCTAAAATGGAAATAATGTTACCCGTTCCACCAACCTCACAGGATTATTGTAAAAATCCAAAAACATATTGTATGACAAAGTGCTTTGAAAACTATAAAGCACTACATAAAAAATAACTTATTACTAAACATTTTCTAAAACCTTTGTTTTACATATATAATATTGCTTTATATAGTTTCTATCCTATTTATATAAGATACATATATATATTTCAAAATTTCAAGACACTTGAAAACCTTCTGTCTAATTAACATATTTTTATATCCCTGCTACTCAAAGTGCAGTCTTGGAGCAACAGCACAGTATCACGAGGGGTCTGGTTAGAAAAACAGACTCTCAGGTACCCCAGGCTTACTGAATCAGGACCTGTAGTTTCACAAGATCCCCAGGTGATAGGAATCTACGCACAGCAAGGTTTCAGAGGCACTGCTTTACACAGCAATACCATTTACAATAATTATATAAATAGAAAATTATTTTCAAAAAAGATATTTCAAATTATGTATCTGTTTATTATTTATCACCAGAAATTTTATGAGATATTTCGCTGAATAATGGTCACTTAAGATCAGAAGCCATGTATTAGTCATTCTCATATTTCTGTCTGTTATATAGCAGACAATGTTTCTGGTGTAGAAGCAAAAAAATATTATCAATAATTAATACAGAAAATAGTAATCAATGTACATTTACCTTTATAGAGAATATAACCACTTAATAGTAATCATTAAATATATATTAAGCATTTCTGAAAACATCTTTTAAAAATGTAATGAATTTTTTAAATTTTATTTTATATTTGTTTTTATTTTTCTTGAGTTTTATTTTGTCTTGTATTTTTTTCCATTACCATTTAGTCTCCTTATATCCTCCACCCCTTCCTGCAATCACACACTGTTATCCATGTGCATGAATTAAACTTTATATTACCCAAATTTATAAACAGGAATGGTAGGTTATGTACGAAATCCATCAGGCATCAAAAAAGATAGTTGCGACTTTTTTTGTTGGAGGAAAAAAAGGAAAACAAAACAAACTTCCAGCAATGTAAAGAATACGAGGTCTGTCCAGAAAGTATCCAGCCATATGCTACGAAAGAGACATTTTTTGCAGAAGATACAAGATACAAGTAACACTGCATATGGGACAGTGATGCCTCAGTACCCATCAAGGTAGGCACCTTGGAACCTCACACAGTTCTCCCAATCGCCATCAGTTGCCCCTTCGTATTTTCCTGAAACTCAATGACGGTCTGAAATCTCTTCCCTTTCAAAGGTGATTTTAGTTTTGGAAAAAGCCAGAAGTCACAGGGCTCGCTATCTGGGCTGTAGGGGGACTCAGTCACCTGGGATTTGATGCTTCACCAAAAGAGTCAGTATGAGACGTGATGCATGAGTGGGTGCATTGTTCAGAGGAAGCTGCCAATCACCAGTTGCCCACAGCTGCAGCCTTCTGAATCATCCGAAAAGTTTCCGCTGAGAAATGTTCAAGCTTAATGCAAAATTTGATACAGATTTCATTGCTCTACTCAGTTATTTTGAATGCTATGGCACAGAGTGCACATACTCATTCAACAGCATCTACTGCCCCACAGTACAGTGAAATCATCAGTTTACACATGCACATTCCAGTCCACTCTCCTTGGCTGCCAGGTTCTATCAGTGTTGTGCAAACGTTATATTATCAATGGCTGGACTTTTTCCATACAGACCTCGTATATAGTGAGCTTTAATGTCAGACACCATTCAAGTTCTTGTTCTGGCATTAGATTAGGTTTTCAACAAGCTACTTATTCTTTCTAGTTTCAATTATCTCATGTGTAAAATTGGGATGATAATAGCATTTATCCTCAGAGATAAAAGAAAGAATGTGAACTACCTAGTGTTATAGCCACAAATTATTATTTATGGAAAACAGAATTAATGTTTTAAAAACTTAAAAAAGTAAAATTTACCTTATCAAGTTTTAGTTCTAATTCTGCCACATCTCCTTCTACTTCTTCCAAAGCAGCCCTAGAAAAATTATATATAAAATAAGTTATTTTATGTTTAAAAGTACATTTTACTTCTGAAAAATTACTAAGTGAAAATATAGAAATGAATACTTAAAAATTATACTCCATATAAAGTAATAACTACCTCAGAATAAAATATGAAGACTTCATAATCATATAATACAGTATATACTATGATTATTTTTTAAGTAAAGAGAGACCATATTAGGGTGATTTACTCAAAACACTTATATTGTTCAATTTAATAATACTAATTAGAGCTATTTAGCATGTGTTAAGGTGTAAAAAACTTTAGAAGTTGAGCCTTACAAAGATTCAGATTTCTATTTAACAAAATATAAGTAACCAAACAGGTAAGCATCCTTGGCAACCAAATTTAAACATAGTGTAAGCCCAATTTTGTGCAGGTCCGGGGTGGGGCAGGGAACCAATCTTGATGTTATATGTATAGGAAAAAAAAACTGGAAACGTATTTATCAATCTAATAATATAACTTTGACAAAGGGGGATTAGAGAGCAGAGTGTATAAATAGGAATTTACACCTTTTACTACTTATACTTCTGGATTCTTTTAATATTTGCAATAACTATGCATTTTTAAGTAATTTTTAAAACTAATCAAGAGGAAGAAGTAGTTTAGATATAACCATCCTATGAAGGTGGGTCCTCCTGGAACCTCTTCCTCCACCCACTCAGGCTCAGGAGTAGAATCTCTATTGATGTTCACTTCTCTCACGACTGAGCTCCCCATAGCAGCACAGACACTCAAATTGTTTGTTGATTCAAGACAGAAACTCCACAAATTTTTACTCTGTCAGAAACTCTCTTTTATACTTTCAAACTTTATATAATTCAGTTTGATTCAAAGTTCAATTTCTTTTTAAAAAAAGTTTTATTTATGCATTTTCAGAGAAAGGGGAAGGGAGGGAGACAGAGAGGGAGAGAAACATTAATGTGCAAGAGAAACATCAATCGAGTTGCCTCCTGCACACCCCCAACAGGGGACCTGGCCCACAACCCAAGCATGTGCCCTGACTGGGAATCAAACTGGCAACTTTTCGTTTCACAGGCCAGTCAGTGCTCAGTGCACTGAACCACATCAGCCAGGGCTCACGCTCAATTTCTTTTAAGCAAATCAGTTGAAATGACCAACTTAAGATTTTATTTAGTCATTGGTTTCTACTAAACATATACAGTCACATAAGGCATAACAACCTTTATTTTCAGTCAGCATCAGACCACATACATTTGATGACGGTCCCATAAGATTATAAAGGAGCTAAAAGTTCCCATCACCTAGTGATATCATAGACATGCAGCCATTGTAAGGTCTTAATGTGGTAATGCAACACATTACTCATTGTTAAGTGACATATGACTGTAGTTTGGTAGAAAATGCATGTACGTTTCTCAATCTTATTTCATTGTGCAATTCTAATAATTTACTTTTGTGAAATAACACTTTTAAAGAGAGGGAAGAGTATATACAAAAGCGAGAGGAAAAAAAATGTTTTATCTGTCATTTGAAAATAAAGCTCTTCACAATTTCTTCCAATGTTAAACAGGTTACCAAAGACTCCAACTATCACATTCCTAGGTATTTACCCAAATAAATTGAAAACATGTCCACACACAAGAGTCTGTACCTGAATGTTTACAGCAGCTTTATTCATAATTGCCAAAACTTAAAAACAATCAAGCTGTGCTTTAAGTAGATGAATGTGATTCTTATGTCCATACAATATTTTCATTAATAAAAAGAAATGCACTATTAAGCCACATAAGACATGAATAAATCTTAAATACATACTGCTAAGTAAAAGAAGCCAATCTGAAATTCTACATAATGTATTATTCCAGCTATATGATGTTCTGGAAACAATAAAGACAGTAAAAAGATCAGTGGTTGCCAGGGATTCATGGTGAGGGAGAGACGGATGAATATGTACAGCACAGAGGGATTTTTAGGGCTATGAAACTATTACTTTGTATAATACTGCACTGCTGGGTACATGTCATACATTGTTAAAACCCATCAAATGTACCCATAGGTTCACAAAGAGTGAACTGGACTTTAGTTAATAATAGTGTATCAATACTGGCTCATCAATTATAAGAAATGTATCACACTAATGCATCACACTAAAGATGTTAGTAATAACGGAAATTGTGGATCAGAGGTTGCTAGGGGTTCAGAGAAATAGGAGAAATGAACAGGTAGAACACAGGATTTTGGGGGAGTGAAATTATTCTGTATGTCGTAATGGTAGAAAATTGACTTTACATATTTATTGAAGTATGTATAACTATACAGCAAAAAGTGAATCCTAATGTATATGGACATTAATTTATAATAATGTACCAATACTGGTCCCTCTGTTGTAACAAATATACTGCATTAATGCAAGATGTTAACAATAGGGGAAACTGGAAGTGAAAATACAGAACTCTATTCTTTCCTTGCAATTTTACTGTAAATCTAAAACTGTTATAAAAATAAAGTACATTAAAATAAAAAATAAAAAATAGCCCTGGCTGGTGTACCTCAGTGGACTGAACACAGGGTTGTGAACCAAGAGGTTGCCAGTTCGATTCCCAGTCTGGGGTACATGCATGGGTTGCAGGCTGGGTCCCTGGCTGGGGGTATGCAAGAGGCAACCTGATAGATGTTATCTCTCACACATCCATGTTTCTCTCCCTCTTTCTTCCTCCCTTCCCCTCTGTCTAAAAAATAAATAAAAATTAAAAAAATAAGTCTTTTATACTCGTATGTTCAAAGAATTTGAAAGTTCATATTGAAGGTTCTTGAATATTTCACCTTCTCTAAAAATTCTGTCCTTGGTCATCTAAAGTGTGTGTGAAAATCTGCAGCAATAGGTAAGTACCAGTGCCTCAGGAAGCCTGGTAAATTGCTGAATATTCCTTATTATTAAAAGAAAAAAGCCTTCACTGGAGAGGCTCAGTTGCTTGGGCCTCGTCCTGCAAAGTGTAAGGTCGCTGGTTAGTTTCCCAGTCAGGGCACATTCCTGGGTTGCAGGTTCAGTCCCAGAACAGAACATGTACAAGAGGCAACTGATGGATGTTTCTCTCCTCTTCCCCATTCCCCTCTCTCTAGAGATAAATAAAATCTTTTTTTTCTTTAAAGTATATGTGAAACAGCACAGTCTTGGTTCAAATCAGGCTCTACCACTCTTATCTAAGTTTCTTTCATCTTTAAAGTTAGTAAAGAAAAGACCTATATAAACAGTTGTAAAAGTTAAATGAAGGACTGTCCATATCATTGACCACAGTATATATAAAATGACACAAGGAACACATTTGATAAGAGCTTCTTTCTCTCCTTTTTTTATTCCTGCATCCTGGTAAGTTTTGCCCTCCCTATTACTTCATATTCATTAATACAAGATAACTATTCTGAAATACATGAACAAATGAATACATAAATGAAACAAAAGAACCTATATGTTAACCTTCAAATATTAGATGACAGGTACTATTACTTTCCAAATATTTATTGAGCATATAACTTTCATAAAAGTACAAACCATTAAAGAGGAAAATAGTACAAACATCCTACTTTCTATAGCTTAAAATCTAATTTAAATTTTTAAATTAAAGGTAATCGAAAATTATTAAAGTTTAAAAGTTACACACATTAATAATGAAAGAAAATATAATTAAGTGGTGAAATAAGCAAAATATAAAATAATGTTAAAAGATTTTAAAAGAACAGGGAAAAAACATAAGGAAGTCAGCAGTCTCACAGGATTACTACAAGCAAATGACAGCATGTCAAACAAGCCTGGCCAATAACCTCTTTTTGTAGAGCCCTTGAAGTAAAAATGGTTTTAATATTTTAAAATAGTTGAAAAATCAAAAGAATATTTCATAGTACATGAAAATTATATTACAATCAAATATCAGTGGCCACAAATAAATAAGCCCAAATAAATAACATCAGAAATAAAAGAGGAAGAAAATAACTGACATGAAAGAAATACAAAGGATTTTAAGAAAATATTATGAACTACTACATGCCAACAAACTGGACAACCTGGATGAAATGGATAAATTCCTAGAAACATACAATCTTTCAAAACTAAATCAGGAAGAATAGAGAATCTGAATAGACAGATTATACCAAGTAAAATTGAAGCAGTAATCAAAACACTCCCAACTAACAAAAGCCTTGGACTTGATGGCTTCATGAGTGAAGTTTCCCAAATATTCCGAGAACTAATACCACCCCTACTCAAACTACTTCAAAAAATTCAAGAGGAGGGAAGGCTCCCAAACTCATTTAACCAGGCCAGCATTATCCTAATTCCAAAACCACATACAGACCATACAAAGAAAGAAAATTATAGACCAATATCCCTGAACATAGATGATAAAATCCTCATCAAAATTAGCAAACAGAATAAAGGAATGCATCAAAAAGATCATACATCATGATCAAGTGAGAGTTATTCCGGGAATGTAAAGTTGGTACAACATGTGCAAATCAATAAATGTGATCCACCACATAAACAAAATGAAGGATAAAAACCACACGATAATATCAATACATGCAGAAAAAGGATTTGATAAAATCCAACATCCATTTATGATATCAACTCTCAGCGAAGAGGGAATAGAAGGAACATACCTAAATATAATAAAGACCTTTTATGACAAGCCCAGTGCTAGCATCATACTCAATGGGCAAACACCACAAGTGTTCCATTAAGATCAAGAACAAGGCAGGTACATCTGTCTTCCCCTCTCTTATTCAACATAGTACTGAAAGCCCTAGCCACAGCAAATAGAAAAGAAGAAATAAAAGGCATCCAAACTGGAAAGATGGAAGTAAAACTGTCTTTATTAGCACATGACATGATACTGTACAAAGAGAACCCCAAATATTCCACCAAGAAACTTTGGGAACTGATCAATGAATTCAGCAAAGCAACAGGATACAAAGTTATTTTTTATTTTTTATTTTTATTTATTTTTCTT